TATGCAACGAATATCAATATCAATTTGTATTCTTATTTGTTTAGGAATACGAATAGTTCACGAATCATGTACGAATATCGAATCGATATGATCATAAGTTTAAAACAAATATCACTTTAAAACAACTTTTCCGATATTTCTTATGTTATACATGCATGCTATGACTTAATATGTGTTTTGAATTTATTTTTTTGTAACATTACATTTTTCTTTAAAATTTAATGGATTGATGCATTTTTTGGTTGTGCACAATATACTAAAGTGAATCGATTTTATGATTACTATACATAAATATATTTAAAGTTTTTGAAATAAACACTAACACACACATATTAAAAATTATACCTATTATGTGTGAAATAAGTTAATAATTATATATATGTATATATATATATATATATATATATATCAAAGTCAAAGACTCTAATTTTATGTTAGGTATTTAGTATTGTTGATAATAAAAAAACTCCATTAGATATATAGTTTATGCTACACACACATATAATGGGTAGTTGATGCACACACACATATTAAATAGTTGGTTTTGTTTATGTATAAACGAATATATTTGGTTATTCTTCGAATCAAATACATAATTATTTGTATTCTTATTTGAAATATGTTTGAACCAAAAATCTGAATTCTATTCGTATTTATATTCTGTATTTTTAAATTTAAATCATAGTTTATGAATCTATATCACGAATCGAATTAAAATAATTTGTTTCGTTTACAACCCTTACTCCTTATGATACTTCCGATTTATTACGAATTGGCTTGGAATGTGTATACGTAAATGTATATATATATGGGTTACACTTTGAGGGTATACTTAGCTTTTAAAAGTTATTATAGTGTTATTACTACTATCATTATTATTAATATTAGCACCATTATAAATCGAATATATTCGATTAACATTCGAATCGAATATACTGATATTCGCATTTGTATTTGATAACAATTCAAATCAAGTTTAGTTTTCTAATTTGTATTTGTATTTGAATTTTTCGAATTCGAAACCCGAACAGAGCATAAATTATTTGATTCATATACAAACCTAGATGGAACAGACTTTATGCTCGGATCTCTATTAGATGGGCTAGATCACAACAATGTCCAATACCACGAGTTGAGAGTGAGAATGGGCACCCGACTGGAAAGTGCTTGGCCAAGGAGCCGGATGGTCCGAGGAGGTCTATATTGACTTTAAGTCTTGGGGTGCAATACATTATGCATGTGCACAAACCATATTTATATTCTGTATTTTTAAATTTAAATCATAGTACACCATCATACAACAAGAAGAGGGCATGCTTAACACTTGTACATAATAGATGATACAAATGCGAGAATAACACTTGTACATAATAGATGATATTGCGCAGGACATGCTTATACAAATGCGAATCCATGTGTTAGACCAATTGAGGAGGGCCTGGGACACACCACCCGACCATTAGAGAAATTAATTATAAACATTCTCAGGTGAATAAGTTTACACTTTACATTTGTATTCACAATAATAGAATAGTTCATCCCTCATTGTTGTGAGCAGGAAAAGACCCATCCATTAGAAAAATTCATTATAACATGACCCTTCTCAGGTGAATGAGTTTACATTTGTATTCACAATAATAGAGTAGTATGTCCGTCATAGTTGTGAGTGGTAAAAGTTCAAAGAGAGGTCTTAAACCGTTCAATACATAAATCATTTCTGTTCTTGTTGATCTTGCTAGTGAAGGAATCTTTACATAAAGGTGTAAGTATTGTATTATTTCTTCTTTCAGTCCACTACAAACTCAAAGCTTTCTGCATCACTGACTCACAGCCACAAAACCCTCACCACCCCATTGCCCCAACAACACAATCACCATAAGGCATTTATATGCTTTTAGTGCTATCATCACTGCTTTTTAGATATATGTACTCCGTAATCAGTTTTCTGGACTTATCAATGACTCATGATGTGACTGAACTCGGTTCAACCTTTCTAGTCGAAGTTATCAACGATTGAGGATGAGACCGAACTCTCAAACCCTGAAATCTGCTATTAGAGCTAATCTTTTTCCATCATTGGCGAATAGCCTGCTACACTCCTCAAGAAATGACAATTGTACACAAGCTATTAGAATCTGAAATCCACAACCAATAAAGTCAAACACAGAGAATCATCCAAATCTCATCACCTTCCTCTGGTCGTGTTTCAACCATACTGCCTGCTGAAAGCCGATCACCACTAGAAGAAAACAATAGCCACTTAGAACTTACCACAAACGGATACAACTCCATTTAGAAATTCCAGGGAATCGCCACATCAGGAGCTTCAACAATATTTCATTCTTATTTTTTTAGGCCTGGAGCTCATCATGGGCTCTTAAGAAAATGAATCATAACAACAACTATCTTGATTCATACTCGTGGTTTACTAGCTGGAGTGGTTCATTATTTATTTTCAATTGGGAAAAGGGCCATTACAACATGACTGAGTAAATGGATAAATAAAATCACCCCTTCATCCATGGGTATATTTTGCATGAGTTATGATAAAATATCAACTAGTTTTATACTCTGTATTGCATTTTTCAATGAATGCCACATATTTGTAGATCAGAGGTATATGCGTCAAGAAATTGAGAAAGATAAATGTGTTGCATTTTTCGTTTTTTCAGAATTGTACAGTGTTTTCATCAATTGTAGCATTAGTAACTTTTCAGGGGTTCACATAATCGGTTGTTGCAATAAATACACAGCCTTTCTTGTTTATAATCTGCTCCGGGACCCAACAATGGAGCAACGACTGGCCAGAATATATATCAGTTATTGAAAGAGCCAGGTCATTTAGTACCTAGTACAACATGTTTGAAATACTTGACCTGTCTGATTGATAACATTTAGGTCTTTATATATGTGTTTAAAACTCATTTTAATATATAAGTATGTGTCTGTAATAGATTGTAAAAATTAATAACCCTTATATCTTTTTAAATTTGTAGAGGTGAATAAAAATCATTCATAAATCTGATATGTAGGAAGGGCCTTATATTAAAATGATGAAAACCAGCACGGTTACTAGTAAAACACTTGTATCAGATACTATACAACTATCTGGAGAGTGCAACTCAAATGTTGACAACCAAAATGGTTTATCAAATTATGTTTGAATTCACTCCGTTCTAACCCTACCAAATTAACAATCATAATATGAAGAACAACAATCTCGAAATCCAACACAATAGAAAACAGAAAAAAGAAAAAACGATAAGTAAATAATGGTGGAAAATATAGTTTTATTGTTCTACCCCTGTTTTGTCCACACTAGGAGCTTGAAAACTCCTTCACAACCAAAGCTCCTTCATTGTCTTTGTCTTTCTATGCTAACATCAGGGTCGGTCCTGTCCATTTATGGACCTATGGGTGATACGCTAATTCGGGCTCATATCCAAGATAAACCGTAAACCATACAATTATTTACATATAAATTATAATAAAAGTATCTAACGAAGTTTATAAAATAAAGGCGAGGATCACTTTATTATTATTTAAGTTACATAGTTAGGCAAAAGTAACAACACGAGTATCGAATAAAAAGAAAAAAAAAATACTTAAAAATGTTTCTCGTAGAACAATTTGAAGCAAAACTCATAGATGATCTTCTTTCTACTAATAAGTATGACAAACAATAAAAATATTACATATAACAACACTAAACTTTCTTTTAGTTACAACTGAAAAGATAAATGAAAATAAATATTACTACATATTGAATTCATAAGTTGAGAATGATTTATTGACTGCTAAGAATTTCAAGTTTGAAACCTCGAAAGAATGAAGGTTTTCAAAGAGAAAATGTTTGGCCGCCAAGATGTCGTCCTCTTTAACTACTATTAGGAACTCAGATATTTTTTTTTTCAATTTGGAAACAAATAAATAATTGAGATGAGATTTGGGAGCCACGGGCTCTAAAATAATTATGTGTGTGTGTGTATATATATATATATATATATATATATATATATATATAAATGAATAAAAAGCCTTAATGACTAAAGAGATGTGAAGAGTGAAGAGGCGTGTCTTTTATTGATCCAGCAACAGTTGTATTGCTTTTATAAACTAAAACCGGTTCTACATAAAATTAAATTAATGTTTTTTTTTTAAACTTGGCTTTGTTTATTTTTTCTATATATGTTTTAAATTTTCAAATTGTCAATAAAATTAAACATTGTGCTTAATTAATTGAACTTAAGAATAAAAGAAGAAGCCTACTCACACAATATACAAAAAAAGATTTTGGGCCTATTTTTTCTTCTATATTTTTTGGGGTCTAGGGTGGTCGCCCCTGTTGCCCTCCCCCAGAACCGGTCCTGGCTAACATTCCTTGTTTGGGGTTGCTCGAACTCTTAAGTAGTGTTTTATTATTGAGCCACTATCTTGCCAGATCAAAAAACAATTACTTCGTAGTATTTAATTATTATTTATACAAGTAAGAAGTACAAAAGTAATTGTGGACATTTCTAAGATGTTTTAGTATAAAAAATACTGTATTGATCCCTCCAACATATACACAGTAAAGTTTTTGTCACTTTTTGTCATCCGACTATAATTACAATGACATTTGTGGCACTCGATTTTGATTTTTTTTAGTCCTTCAACTATTGTGCAAATGACCTTTTAGTACTTATATATGAGAAATTTTTCATATTTAGTCTTTTGACTTTCATAAAAGTAACATTTTTGTGGTCCTTCAATTATAGTGACATTTTTTACCTTCCACTTATTCTACAAAATGATAGTGAAATGATTAAAAGTGTCAATTTGATAATACTCCACAGACTTGATGTGAGTAAATTCAAAGTGGGGACTAAAAAGTCTCTTTCACAATATTGGAGGGTCAAAGTAATAAAAGTCAAGTAATAAAAGTGTCAAAGTCAAGTAATAAAAGGGGACAAAAATTGGCAAAAACTCTCTCTTTGTAGTAACTCCCTTCTACGGCAGTCATACACTCACACCTTCTACGGTCATACTACTGTCGTGTACTCCTTCCCATCCTCTACGAGTCGTATGATAAACTCAACCCCTTCTCACCAAGTAGATCAACGAATTTAGTGATCAATCGCGTAAAAGGAACACTAAATCCAAGTCAGGAGCCGATGACACTTTGAACAACAGTGGTTAGATATTGCAAACACCAAAAATACACAGTAGAGAGCTACCATAGATTGGCAATGGGGGAGGGAAGCACACTTGCCCGATATACAAATGTAAAGATAGATATACTGAGAGAGATCAGAAGAATTCGGAAGGTTTAGAAGATTCAAGATCTAGGCTTAGTTGAAATATCTAGTTCAAACCTATCTTGGTATTTCTCAGTCAATCTTCTGGTATGTCCATGGAGGAGGATATTTTGGGCTGAGCGTGATAAAGTGTGTAGCTTTTCTCATCACAGATTGGAAAAGGGCTGAATCTCTATTTTTGGCATAACTACAGTATAGCTTGGAGCGGATCAAATCAAAGTTTTCTTTGTTCTTATGTATTCATTACATTCTTTTATTCAAACTGAGTGTTTTTGTTTGGCATTTGAAAGTTCACCCTTTGTGCATATAAAAATATAGTATTGGGGAGTTGGGGTTTGAGGAGGTGATGAAATGGAGGAAAAGGAAGCAGCTTTGCACACTGCTTTAAATGCAGTGCAGGCATTGGGGAGGGGTTTTGATGTGAACTATGATACAAGATTGCTCTACTGTAAGGGAGCGGCTGGCTCAAGGGTTGTTGAGATTGATGAAGAACGCACTAGGGATGTTTGCTTGTATGGAAATATATTTGTTCCTAATGTTTCAAGGGATATAATGAATACCCAGGAGACCGGTGGGCGTGATGGCTCTGGCATTTGCACCTATCCTGAGGTACATTTGATTAACTTTGCTGTTCTGAAATTCAGTATGAGTTTCCTTCATTTGTTTGTCATAGTTGTGTCTATTTTTTATTCGTGCCTGGGAAAAAAGAGTTCTATTTAAACAACAGAAGCAAATTTTCATTGCATTTTTTGTTTTCCCCCAACAATAAGTGTCTAACGCCAGTATGTTTGATTTAGTTAAGGAAACAAATAAATTTAACATTTCGTACCTATGGTCTTCCCCTTACCCCACTTTAGGTGGGAGCCTTTGCAGCATCTGGGTAATAATGATGATGATTTAGTACCTATGGTCTTAGTCTAATCCTGTATTGGTTTTTGGCTTTTCGCAGTAACTAAACTATAGTGTCTTCTACTCTTCTGATTCAGATGGTGGAGTTCTTCAACAGAAAGGCCAACCTGTCAGGCCATGCCCCTCTTGGTAGTTTCAATGCTGCATTCAGTTTCACCGGTTCAAAGGAAATAGATGCTGCCACCACAAAGACCCTTTGTATTGATGGGTTTTTCATGCCACTTGCTAGAGTTCAACTGATGAAAATGCCTCTGGTGTTGCAAGAAAATGTTAGAAGAGCAGTTCCAACGTCATGGGACCCACCCGCATTGGCAAGGTTATGATGTGCCAACTGCCAAGTATTCATCATTTCAATTGCTGTTATCTTTCATTAACACTAATGTAGTTTTCTGTTCCATTTCAGTTTCATTGAAAATTTTGGGACACATATTATTACATCCATCACTATTGGTGGTAAAGATGTAATTTATGTTAAGCAGCATCTACCGTCTCCTCTATCTATGGTAGAGATAAAGAGTTATGTTCAAGATATTGGAAATCAAAGGTTTTCAAGCATTGAGAGCCACCTTACAAACTCTGGGTTATTGATGTATAGGGATAAGGCTAGTCTCTTCTTATTCCTTTCTTAATTGAGCATTTTGTTTTGCTTAGCATTCTTTAGCATATTTGTCTTCCAACCCTTACTTAGTGTTTGACTTTTTAGGGCAGTGACCCATCTTTGTTCAACGGCCATGGGTTATACCCCCAGCCTATTAGTGCTCCATCTCTTGCTGGCAATGGTAAAGAGGTATTAAGATATGTTATTGCACATACTTTATGGGGTTTTAATTATAATACTATGTAATGTCTAAGAGCTTAGTGTTCCATTAGGGTATGTTTGAGTCATGGTATGCATGGGCAAGTAAAACAAGTAAAGCTTAAGAAGGTGTATTTATTCGAGTAAGTTGGTGAGGACAGTAAATGTACAATATAGGGAGAAATTTTTATGTGGCACAAATTCATTGGCTGATGGTAAGTTAGATATATGATCATTATACAATGAAGGTGTGCCACATTGAACTGTATCCTTATACTTTTCACTCTTAACGCTCTCCTTGACGTAGTCTATTTCTTACGTTTGGGTTTACGTTGGGAAACGCAAAGGAAAATGAAATATGCTTTTAGATATTTAGATCTCTTATGACTTGATCATTATGTAATAAAAATAAATAAATAAAATGAATTTGAACAATTCTGTAAAATAAATATATACTACATATTGATTTTGAGTTTCATTCTTTAATTCCCTCAAAATTTCTTTCCTTCCCATTGTTCTCTCTATTTTTTCTTTCTATTTGGCTTCTTTGGTCTTTTTCTCATTCTAAGCAGACCCTACGATCTGGAGGAAGTTCCTTTTCGGTTCTTTCTATTATACCGCACCAACATTCTAATAAGGAGCATTCTTCATGGCATGAGGATAATATGATAGGATTATTAGCTCAATATATCCTCAACTATCATCAAATTCACAGATTTATCCTATACTTTCACTTTTACTATAAAATAAAAAGATTCAAACTTCAATTTTTCTAACAATTACACTTTTAATAATTGAATTAGTAAAACTGAAGAAGAAAATCATATTTATATTTCATATTTTTCACTTCTTTTAGTTTTAAGTTTACAAACTTGTATTGATTATATGATAAGAACAGAAAAATAAAATCAACGGTATGAACCGTTGCCCGATAATCAACGATAAATAAATACCGTTGCCCAAAGCCAAAAGGCTAAACCAACTTTTATTCCCCGATCATCAAGAATGAAGCATACAAGGGGTATAAATAACCCTCTAGGTCTAATAAGAATAGGAATCCTAAATAAATTAATCTAGGAAACTAAATAGAATAGGAAACCTCTAGTTCTAATAGAACTCCTAATTAAATCATTCTAGGAAACTAAATAGAAATAGGAAACCTCTAATTCTAATAAGAATAGAAGTCCTAAATAAATCCTACTAGGAAACAAATTAAATTAGGAAACAAAATAAAAGGAATAATAAATATTAATTAAACAGCCCGCAACCAGCCCACGAAGGTGGGCTCAAGCCCGTCCCGCCTTCGGTAAACCCACGGGAGCTTTTGCCCCTCTTCTTCCAAGCCCAGATTCTGCTTCATATCAATTCCATCCCCCTTCGAAAAAACCTTGTCCTCAAGGTTGAAATCCGTAAACCGGCTGACATTTGTTCCCGGTGGCTGCCCAGTATCTTTAGGAAAAATTGAGATGTACTCCTCCACAGTCCCTGTCTGCTTGCCTCTGGACAGTCGTTCAAAGCAATTGCCCTAAAACTGTGAGTCAAAACGAGCCACCAATGCCTGTGTAAGCTCATCCCATGACATGCCCGGCTTTCGTGTCCGCATCGAGGTCAACCGGTATAGGGCTGACCCTTCCATCACATCTACAGTGGCTGCCGCCTTCTTTCCCGGCAGAGCACAATTCAATTTGAACCGTTTCTCAGCCTTATCAACCCAGTTGATTGGTTCTACTTCGTTAAACGAGGGCAACGTCGTAAGAAAGGAGTTGCGTAGTCCAATTCCGAACGAGGATGCTGCTGCCGCGTCGAGTGAAGTCACCACCATTGAATGCTCCGCCGCTGGCGGTGCGAGAGTCTCTTTTAGTGCAGCCAATGAAGAAGTGACGTTGTGCAGCTGTCCGTCGCCGCTGTGCGTAGATACGTTGGGGCTGCCAACCGTGTCCGAGCTTGTTTCCGTCGTGACTGATGGAACGAGCGCCTTGGTAAGCGCTGCCAGGGATGCGGCGATCTCTGTCAGGCGCATGTTGTGCTCCTTTAGGGTTTGAGTGTGCTTGGCCAACATCTCTGACAAACGTTCACCGATAGATCTCGTCATTCTGGCGGGACGGGATCCGGCAGGTCGGACCAATTGATAAGAACAGAAAAATAAAATCAACGGTATGAACCGTTGCCCGATAATCAACGATAAATAAATACCGTTGCCCAAAGCCAAAAGGCTAAACCAACTTTTATTCCCCGATCATCAAGAATGAAGCATACAAGGGGTATAAATAACCCTCTAGGTCTAATAAGAATAGGAATCCTAAATAAATTAATCTAGGAAACTAAATAGAATAGGAAACCTCTAGTTCTAATAGAACTCCTAATTAAATCATTCTAGGAAACTAAATAGAAATAGGAAACCTCTAATTCTAATAAGAATAGAAGTCCTAAATAAATCCAACTAGGAAACAAATTAAATTAGGAAACAAAATAAAAGGAATAATAAATATTAATTAAACAGCCCGCAACCAGCCCACGAAGGTGGGCTCAAGCCCGTCCCGCCTTCGGTAAACCCACGGGGGCTTTTGCCCCTCTTCTTCCAAGCCCAGATTCTGCTTCATATCATTATATCTTATTGGTATTGATAAAAATGTGAAATTTTGAAAATACAAAAAAAGAAAAGCATAATTGTTGAAAAAGATGAAGTTTGAGTCTTTTTTTAATAAAAGTGAAAGAATAGGATATATTTGCGAATTTAATGATAATTTGGGATAAAATAAACTAATAATCCAATGTGATAAAATCTTTTCATGTGATGTTACTCTGCAAAGTGCGTTGACCAAATGCATGTGAGTGGGCACGTGATTATGTGATCAGGGAATGCTGAAAGGCTGAAATATTTTTTGGATGGGTCTAATGCAGGATGTTACAGTCATTTTCAGAAGAAGGGGAGGAGATGATCTGGAGCAAAGCCACATTAATTGGGTAAAAACAGTCAAATCTTCACCTGATGTCATTGAGATGTCATTTTTTCCAATCGCAATGCTCCTCGAAGGAATCAAGGGAAAAGAGCATTTGACACGTGCCATAAATCTATACGTAGAATGTAAGGGTGTCATACCTCAAATTTCCACATCCCACCTTACTACTCCCTCCATTCCCTTGTTTCCCTTTTAAAATTAGTGTGGTTCAGATTTATGCAGAAGAGGGTGAAATAGTATGAACCACCCAACTTTTTACATGAAAGAAATGGGTGAAAAGGAAATTAGGAACCATTTTGTGGGAAGGCTGGGTTATTAATTTACAAACTATCCTAATTGATGACTATTGATTCTGATACTGTTGATTGTAGACAAGCCTCAAATTGAAGAACTGAGATATTTCCTAGAGTTTCAGATCCCTCGAATATGGGCACCTCTTCAGGACAGGCATCCTGGTCTACAAAGAAAGGAACCTGTTTGCCCTTCACTGCAGTTTAGCATGATGGGTCAAAAGCTTTATGTCAGCCAAGAGCAGGTAATCTCAATATGTTGTCTAAAGTGGTGGTTTTTGTTTGGAACATGATGAACATGTAATGCCATATAGCTATCACATTTGTTACCTATATTTACAAAATGAATATTGTTCCTTGTTTGTATCATTGCAGCATCTCACCATCAAGATCCAGTTTTTTTCTCTATCAATTTAGCAAGTATTAAAGAGACTTCCAATAAAATGCTTATAATGTAGTCGCTTGAAATATGTAGTGCCAGTTGATTTTCTAAAAAGGGGTTTTCTATAATATTACATCATCATAGTCACCACACCCATTTTGGAATACCATTATGGTCATTGCACATCAGAAGTCATTATTTTTATGTTAGTCATGTGTCTGTCATTATTTCTTTCTAAAACCAGTCAACACTATAAATTTATGTAAATTTTGAAGTTGTCATCATAATGGAGCCATAATTGATGTAAAGTATTTTACTGGTTTTAACTCTCAGATTTCAGTTGGGCGAAAGCCGGTGACTGGGATGCGATTAAACCTGGAAGGGGTAAAGAAGAACCGACTGAGCATCCATCTTCAACATCTGTCATCTCTCCCTAAGCTCATTCAACCATATTGGGACTCCCACATTGCTATTGGCGCACCCATGTGGCAAGGACCCGAGGAACAAGATAGCCGATGGTTCGAGCCCGTGAAATGGAAAAACTTCTCGCATGTAAGCACCGCTCCAATTGACTGCCCCGAAACTTTCATAGGTGACCTTTCCGGTGTGTACATAGTGACGGGGGCACAGCTTGGAGTGTGGGATTTCGGGTCAAGAAACGTTTTGTATATGAAGCTCTTATATTCGAGGGTGCCAGGGTGCACGGTTAGAAGATCATTGTGGGACCACACCGTAGACGATAAGTCAAAAAAACGAACTGCTAGTGGTGATTCGAGCGTAGTAGTTTCTGGGGTGAACATGGCTGACAATAAGTTGGCAAAATTGGTTGACATGACTGAGAGGTGCAAAGGCCCACAAGATCTTCCTGGTCATTGGTTGGTAACGGGTGGAAAACTGAGCATGGAGAAGGGAAAAATTGTTTTGAGACTAAAACATTCTTTGCTGAATTATTAGCAAAAAACAGAGGCTTCTCATATGCAAAGGTGTTTCCCTCCATGTGTAAGGTGTAGTAGTTGGGCAGTGATTTTGGTGTATATTTGGCCCTCCTGTTTCCCTTCATGAATGGTAATGGTATGTGTTTCTGATGAAAGGTATATCACCCTGGTAGGAGTGGTAGCTGGTTTTGGATCAATGAATGTGTAAATGTAATTCTAGCTTGTTGGAAAACAGTGTTGCCACAATCTTATCCAAACGCTTATAGGTTGTGTCTGCAGTGTATATGATTTTGCAGCCAAACTAGAAGTCTGGATATGTCAAGAAATATTGTCATACATACAAAGGTTCTAAGAGCATTCGTGATAATCTTGTCAATTTATTTATTTATTCATAGTCTACATTGCCGCTTCATCAACGAATGAATTTATAAATTATTCTTGTAAAAAGTTGACATGTCCATGTTCATAAATTTGCTGTCATGTTCACAAAATGTTTGTGTCTCGCACGTCAATTTTATTTTCATTTCCTTTACCTTTTTGTTTGTGAACGTGTATGTAATCTTAATATCGTAAATATGAAGTTTGCGCTTCCAAAATGAAACTTAACAATGATACAATCACCATTGTGGAGGCATTAATATGTTTAAAAAATATGGAGTAGGAATTAATTTCATTCTACTGGTCTTATGTCAATTTTATATTTAGTTTAGATCTTCATCGTCCACTTTTTAGTACTTGAATAATGTTTTTTGAGCATTTCTAGTTTATTTGTTCAATTTTTCAAAGTCATAAATATCTATAGAAAGGATCATCCATGAGAAAAAATAATAGTCATGTTTCAAAGGTGTTCAAAGTCAAATAAGTGACAAAATGTGAAATTGGTGCGATAGTAGTATGTTATTCTAAATATTGAGCTAATCAAATAACTTTGGTCACAGCTCACAAGCCAGCTTGAATCATGTTGGGTCTGGTGATCAATTATGAAAAAATACAATAATAATGTGTTTAAATTTTTAAAAAATGAAAATATACACCACATTTTAAAACAAGTTTCTAATTATTCTTGGTTATATTATCTGGTTATTTATGAGAAAATTACAACCATTTTGGGTCAGATTATAATTTTTCAATCTTTCTTGTGTTTTAAACAATTAGATAGTTTTGATTATTTTCTTATTTTCAATTAAAAAACAACTGTCAAATTTATCCCATACAATCTAGAACATGCTAAAAGCCAAACCAGGAAAACTAACTTGAATGAGAATTATCATCCAAGAATTACGAGGAATATTCAGAGATTATATTGATAAGAAAGAATGACACAAATATTACCTATAAGGTTTTGATAGACAAAAACAAGACCATTTTAAAATTTACAAAAAAGAGACCACATATATACGCTTCTTCAGTATCCAAATCTCACGGTTTACTCCATCGCTCCTCCATCATCGACCTTACAGTCGGAAACCGACGCCTCTGGCAACCGCCATCCGCCTCCGCTTCTCTGCTCCGCGCTCGTCATCGTCGCCCTCCCCCTCCTATGCCGATTTCTGTTTGGCTGCAGTGTCAGCAGCTTGGTGAGACGACTTTGCGGCTTGGTGCGTCTAAAATCGTTGAGCCCCTGAGCCGGATTTGTGGCTACAGTTTGGGGCTTTAACCGGTGGAAATGGTGGTTCAATCGCGGTTGGGTTGATGAGGAGGGGCAGTGGAAGTAGGCGGTGTGTGGGGGAGACGCAGTGGGAATGGGATGGTGGTCGGAATACACTACCGGAGAAATTGTGTCACTATGGAATTGTAACTGTGAAGATGTCATTGTGGTAGTGTAACAGTGTAACTATGGCCCGTGGAGGTGACCGGAGGTGGCCAGCGATTGTCATCGACGGAGAAGTCACTGTGGTCAAATGTTGGGACAGAGATGTCACTGTGGAGTTGTCACTGCGGTAGTATCACCGTGGCCGGCGACGTGATAGGCGGCAGTGGTGATGACGATAGAGAGATGAGCGATGGTGGCCGCAGTGACACGGGCGCCGGCGGCAATGACACGGACGGCAGTGACATTCGACAGTTACATGAAAATAGGCAGTGACATGTATATTTGGCTGTCACTTTATTTTACTCACACTTTTGTCCAAATTTAAAAAATAGACACTTTTTTGTCTAAATTTAAAAAATAGTCACATTTTTGTCCAAAATTAAAAGTGGTCACATTTTTGGAAATCGACTTCAATTTAGTAATATTCAGGTAAAAAATCCAGCCCAACAACATTACTATGTAGTGGGCTAAACTTCACACTCAATGATCACAAGAAGTCAATCCAGAAACCTGCAAAATGAATCGGATTACTTTTTGTACCCGATTGATGCAAGGTTCGAGTCACCACACAAACTTGCCCAAGCTCTCAAACGGTACAAATCATCCCACTTGGATGCAAAAGTCTACCAGGCTTATCTTCAGAAGGCAATTATATTCCACAATAAATACAATAAATCCATCTCAACTTCAGTTGGGATACCTACTGAAGATTTTAATCGCTAATGTTTCTTTTTTCCTGCTCTTATTTCAACTCTCCATTTTAACTTTAATTATTCTTATTTTAATAAATTTGGGAATTGTTCCCGGCACTTCCCCCTCCAGTGATTTTCTCCGGAAAAACAACCATCTTTTTCATTCCTTGAAAGCGCTAAAAGGGGTCAAACCGTCATTTTTTTTATTTTCAAACACCCCTATGACTTTTATCAAATTGTTTTAACCTTTTTAAGTACTTCACGTTTGCCAACGCACAAGTAATCCCTCTGTCCACTTGACTGAGTAAGTAATCGTCACTTAGTAATTCCTTTGTTGCAATTTTCGGTGAAGGTCAAGTGGATAAAGAGATTATCAATAAATAAATAAATTGACAAGATTATCACAATTAAATTGATGATAATCCTCCCCCTTCAGTGGTTTTCTCCGGAAAAACAAACATCATTTTCATTTCTTGAAAGCGCTAAAAGGGTTCAAACCGTCAATTTTTTTATTTTCAAACACCCCTATGACTTTTATCAAATACTTCATGTATCATTTTCATCTGGTCTGGTCTGGTCTGGTCTGAGATAAATTACAATCCAAGTAAAAACATCCTCACTGTAGCATCTTAAAAAAGATCTATTGTTTTTCTAAAAGCTCTTAAAAATTGACATTCCAAACATATAACTAGAAGCTTTTAAATACTTTTTAAATGGTACAAAAGCTAGAATGCATGGACTTATGTCTGCCAAACATAGCCTTAGACTAATTATTTCAAAAAAGTCATTTCACTCTCTGATCAGACATATAAGAGACTGCCCAAAAATGAGCAAGACTAATCGCTAATTTGAACATGTGAGAGATTCAAAGCGACTATTGGCCAAATTAGTGTGATTACTTCCTCAAACAATCCTAAATTAATACCAAAAAATTACTCCCTCCGTCCCCTTTTAAATGGGACGGGAGATGGTGGCACGGGTTTTAAGAAAAGTGAGTTTGTGTGGTTGATATTAATTGATAAAGTAAGAATAAAGTAAGAATGATTTTGAGCCACACAAAGTTTACCAAATAAGATATGGGGCAATTAAATAGGGACATCCCAATATGGTAAAACGGGACATTTAAAAGGGGACGGAGGGAGTATCTGCTTGTCATCGGTTTCGACAGGAAAAATAAAATAAAGTACTGAACGGAAGCATAAAAAACAAAGCACAACTGATTACGAGGTTATCGTGCCTAGTGGGAGGTCTCGAGTTTGAATCCCGCTAGACACATAAGATTTGAAACCCAATGGGCTGAATTTCAGCCCTGATTACTCCAGGCTCTCCCAGCCCCCTCCCCCTGGAGTGAAAAAAAAGATAAAAGATAAAACAAAAACATAACCTACAAAAATAACTGAAAGAAACTTCCAAACTCTAACTGCTCCTTCCTTCTATGGCGATGGTTCTGGGGACGAACCAATAACACTTCACATTCCTCCTCCAAAACCAACTGATTGTAGGCCAAATCTTGATCATCATACTTGCGCCATTCCATCGCACCTTGCTCTGCCACTGAAGACAGCCTTTTGTGATCAAGCCCCCAAGTCCCTTCGAACGAAAGTTGCTGCAGCCATTACCCTTGGCCGTAATCTACCTCCGAAATCCCTCTGTCCACTTGACCGAAGAAGTAATCGTCGATTGCCTAAAGCCAGCACAAGTCGTCGCCAGGCGTCCAGTCCAAAACCTAGCCAGACATAGAGCCTCCCGTCCGCAATTTTACGCAGTATACTTTTGCTACTATGATTAAGTTCCATTCTTACATCATAATGACCATAAACACATTCTATTCTAATAATAATAATAATAATGATTTTAGTCACGTTTTGTACATGAATTCGATCTATAGAAGTAATATTTTAGAAAAAAAACTCCATTTAATTTCGAGAGGTAATTAATTGACCGTTGATGGCACAAAGTTGCACTAATAATCCTTTTTTTAAATCCAATCCCTTATCAATTTCAATATCTTTGAAGTAATTTTCGTATAATTGTCATTTAGAAAGATAGACTTTTATTAATCAATTAATCTCTCAATATCTCAATCAAGTTTGTAGTTTGACTTCATAGTTTCTCTATGAAAGATTGTTGTATTGACTTCACAAATGTGCTCCTCTTTAACCAATACTGAAAAATGAAAATTGCTCAAAAATTAATAGCCCGTAAAACATCGCTTTATTATGATATAAATAAAGTAAACATTTTATTATTATTATTATTATTATTATTATTATTATTATTATATATATATATAGAAGTAATGATTTTTTTTATTCTTTTATGGAAAACATGATCCCATTCTCGTAAGCATGTGCCTGGGGACAACTAGTATGGACAATTTCACTTGGTATGGACAATTTCACATTTTGAATTGAGTTGATGAGCTTGGAACCGAGACCCCGTTTGGTATACTTAAATCGGTGGAATTTATTGAAATTAATGAAATTCTGTTTGAATTGGCAGATTCTACTAAATTGTGAAAAAATGTATTAAAACATATTTTATTAATAAAATCAAGAAAAAGTATACTTCGTGCTATGTATTAAAATATCTAAAACGATCATCTATAGTAACTTCAGACAATTAAAAAAATACCATAATATTACTTATTTTGATTATTGCATCATTTAATCAAAAGTTACATATTTTGTAAAAAAGTTGACCGATCAGGCTCACAAGTTTAATGTACTACCAACATTTCAAAATCAACAAAACTTGTTATCTTGTTACAATTATTTATGTTGTCGTTAGTTTTTAATTTATCACTAATTGTTCAAAATCAACATAACTTGCTATCTTGTTATAATAATTTATGTTGTTATTAGTTTTATTAGTGTAATTTAGTGTAATTTTACTAATGTGAAAGATTTTCAACAATATAGAGTGGAAGCAAATAAACAATTATACTTAAAACTTTGAAGAAGGACAATGACATATTTCTTGAAGT